CGGTACCTCGTAGCTGCTGGCGCTCCTCTCGGCCGGCTTCAGGCCGCGGTACAGACGGAGGATACACACTTTGGCTCTTCTCTGGGCGGGAAACCAGTTGCTCTTGACGAAATCCATGACCATCACATGGTTTTTCAACTCCGTGCTGAAGGCTTTGATCTGGAAGGTCCGGCGCCCGGACGGCGGAGGGGTCCCTGCAGGAGTCCCAGGGCGCTGCATGACACGCGCAATCTTGTGACTCCGGCTCGCCGGCCTGGCAGACACAATTTTCTTTGTTTCACCCAGGCACTGAGCGCAGCAGGAGGGACCGGGGAAGCGGCCCAACTCCGACCTGCCCCGGTGTGTTCCAGCTCACAGCTCCTTGTCCCCATGCCCCAGCGGCCCCAGGTGCAGGTGTGCGCGCGGGGCTCTCCAGGGTGACCTTCATGGGCCATAAAGAGACTCCCAGGCTCCCACCTGCGTTCCCCGGCTGTCTGGATTCTTCTCTGATTTCAGACGCATTTCTCTGGGTCCCTGCGCTCACGTCCTGAAGGCAGAATCCGCCCGGTGACCGGTGACCGGGAGGCTCCGTGTGTTCCGGCTCCGGCCCTCCAACCCACATAAATGATTTCCAGGACGCCGGGCCAAGGAGCCACAAGTGACCATGGCTGCCTCTTACAGCTCCTGCTCTTCCATGCCGGGGCTGGGAGAGACCAGCCCAGCTCCGGCCACACAAAGGGTGACCTCAGCCCGGGAAGATAAGAGACACATTCACGTGACAAAGAGAACTTGGGCTCAGAGCGGCGCCGGCGGCCAGTGGGCCTTAGAGGAGCAGGGCCGAGCGAGGAGCTTGAGCCACGGGGGAGGGGAGGGGGCGGTGTGCTGGCTGACATGGGTCCCCAGTCAACCCTGAGCAGTCCCCCGCCCCCCGAGCCTCAGTCTCCCAGGAGGAGAATGGGAATCATAGCACCTGCCATCACAGGGCGGTGGGGGGATGGGGCGCAGATTGGAAACGTGAGGAAGGAGCAAGGGCAGAGGGTCAGGCCTCCCAGGGCAGGTGCCTGTGTGCTGGGTGCTGAGCTGCCTCCGACGTGTCAATGTCAGGAGTGGACATTCACACGGCGCTGAAAACGACTGGGTCTTGACCTGCGATCATGTAGACACGCAGATGCGTGACAGACTCCTTCGTGTGGCACAGCAGGTGTGGGTGCCACTTCTGTCAGCCCAGTACCCACGCGGGGGCGGACACTGCTGGCCTAGGGTCAGGGGCTGGGCAGGAGAGAGCCGACGAGAGCAGCGGGATGTGTGCCCAGGCCCCAGACAGCTCTTCTCTGGGGGCAGCTTCCTGGGGCTCTAAGCCAAGATGTCCTCCCCCAGGAATTCTCCCCCCACAGAGATGCCCCCAGTGACTCTGTTTCCCCACCTGGAAAGCCATGGGGGCAGGTGAATGGAGAAGTGATTGCAAATGACCCACAGAGGGCCCCGCGCCTCGACACACAGCGGGCACGGCGAGTGCGGCCCCGGGGGAGGTTGGCCACACGATGGAGACCCCGAGAGGCCCTCCTGGGAGACAGACACGGTGTCCAGCCGTTTATTTATTTGTTTGTTTATTATTGATTTCAGAGAGGAGGGAGAGGGAGAGGAGACAGAAACATCACTGATGAGAGAGAACCCTCATCGACCCGCTGCCTCCTGCACGCCCCTCCTGGGAACGGAGCCCACATCCCAGGCCGGTGCCCTGACCGGGAATCGAGCCGTGACCTCCTGGTTCCTAGGCTGATGCTCATCCCCTGAGCCCCGCCGGCTGCCTTGAAGGACACCTGCTGTGCTGCCGAGCCGCCTCCCGCAGAGCCCACTGCAGGGCCCCCTCACGCTCTGTGCCCGCACTTTGTCACAACGCCGGCCCAGCGGAGATGGGGGCAGTCCCTGCAGCCATGTTCACCAAACGACATCGCTCTGCAGGGAAAAGGGCTCTTTGCTGTCCTCATTCAACCAAATCACTCCGTCGGCCACACACGTTAGAGCTCCGACCTCACTGACGCCCAGCGGACGACCCTGTTCCATTTCCCTAACCCGGCCCCCGGGGCTGCCATCCGATGGCACCAAATCAACAGAAATGAGCCTTGAATGGGTGCGTGTAGAAAGATCTGTGGAACTGATCTCTCCCTTCTCCCGTACCCCTGATCCCCTAGGCAGGGCTGTGTGGGAGATGCGGCGCGGTACCTAAATAATGAATTATTCAAAAAGCACGGGAACTCGCAGGTACCCGGTGCCAGAAACGCGCCTCTGAATTCTTAACCTGCTCTCCAGGGGGATTAGCATTGCGCCCCGAACGCTGCCCTGATTACGCCGCGTTCCAAAGCTGACTCTCTGCAGGGCTCCGCACAGACCCGGGAAGCAGGAGGCAACAATGAAGGCAGATGACTAGGAACTTCTGATGCATGATTTGGCTTCCTTTCCGGGGGAAGTGACATTTTTATTTATGGTGCTTCGCTCATTCAGTGGGAGCTGACGTCCTCTCTCCTCCCAAAGGCACAGCGCGCTCCAAGAATGTCCAAACAGCCCCCCTCCCAAAACAGGTGACAGGGCAGGCCGCCAGACACAGAACCAGGCCGCAGGACACAGAACCAGGCTGCCGGGCACAGAACCAGGCCGCAGGACACAGAACCAGGCCGCGGGGCACAGAACCAGGCTGCAGGACACAGAACCCAGGCCGCGGGGCACAGAACCAGGCCGC